GCTCTTTGTGGTATTTTTTGCAATGGATTATCGCCGTGGACGACAGGACGTCCATGTCGAGAGGAAAAAATAAGAAAAATGTTGATTTTGTATTGTTTTTTACAGGTTAGGATGGGACCACCCGGATGCGGCCCCTATCTGCCGGCCTGAGGGGGGAGTAGGAGTATATTCAATAAGGAATAAGGATAGGAGTAGGAGTAGGAGTAGGAGTCAAGCTAGCCAGCTCGAGCGAGTCAAGCATGGCATGCCCAGTCCCACCCGCCCTCCCACAACATAAGAAGCAAAGCTGGCACAACTGGGGGCCGAAGTCACACCGGCCAGCCGGTTTGGTACAGCTGATGCGGCCGCGATGGCGGTTGCCGACGGGAACTGGCGAGCGCGTGTTGAATGCCGCGCACGCATTGCCAGACGAGTCGAGAATGGCCCGGTACACCGCAGGAAGCCAGAGGTGGCCGGAGGAAGCCCGACGGTCTGACAGGACACCCCAAGGGGGCCCAGGAGGCCCCAAGAGGCAGGAGTAGTAGTACCAGTGGTAGTGGTGTTGGTAGTGGTAGTGGTAGTAGTAGTACCATGTCACCCCTTCGCGCGGGGTGTGCGCCGCGTCCCATTCCTGCCACGCATTTTGCGACGTGACGACAGCACGACCATGTTGACAAGAAAAACAAAACTGTGTATTGTCTTTTGCAGATTAGAATGGGACGGATTGGATGGGCGGGCGCGGGGTGTGCGCCGCGTCCCATTCCTGCCATGCATTTTGCGACGTGGACGACAGGACGTCCATGCGACGGTGCCAATGACGGCGACGACTCTAGAAGGATTTGAGCATGCGCTCGCGGCGACGCGCGCGCATGTCGCCCGCGTGGTATTTTTTGCACAGGATTCGCGGCCTGGGTGCATGACAGAGCATCGCGAGTGCACCGCGCGATGACGTGAAATCGCTGGATTTGACCGAATTCTTAAGATTCCTATGGTTTTCCTATGATTTCAGCAAGAGAGCCCGGGCGGGAAATTTGTAGATTTTTTGTGAAAAAGCATTGGGTTTTTGATGTTTTTATGTTGAAATGCTTGCAAACACACGGTGTTCGGTAGGATTCTGACATGAACGCGCGCGTGTGCTCTTTGTGGTATTTTTTGCAATGGATTATCGCCGTGGACGACAGGACGTCCATGTCGAGAGGAAAAAATAAGAAAAATGTTGATTTTGTATTGTTTTTTACAGGTTAGGATGGGACCACCCGGATGCGGCCCCTATCGGCCGGCCTGAGGGGGGAGTAGGAGTATATTCAATAAGGAATAAGGAATAGGAGTAGGAGTAGGAGTCAAGCTAGCCAGCTCGAGCGAGTCAAGCATGGCATGCCCAGTCCCACCCGCCCTCCCACAACATAAGAAGCAAAGCTGGCACAACTGGGGGCCGAAGTCACACCGGCCAGCCGGTTTGGTACAGCTGATGCGGCCGCGATGGCGGTTGCCGACGGGAACTGGCGAGCGCGTGTTGAATGCCGCGCACGCATTGCCAGACGAGTCGAGAATGGCCCGGTACACCGCAGGAAGCCAGAGGTGGCCGGAGGAAGCCCGACGGTCTGACAGGACACCCCAAAGCATTTTTGTGAAAAAGCATTGGGTTTTTGATGTTTTTATGTTGAAATGCTTGCAAACACACGGTGTTCGGTAGGATTCTGACATGAACGCGCGAGTGTGCTCTTTGTGGTATTTTTTGCACAGGATTCGCGGCCTGGGTGCATGACAGAGCATCGCGAGTGCACCGCGCGATGACGTGAAATCGCTGGATTTGACCGAATTCTTAAGATTCCTATGGTTTTCCTATGATTTCAGCAAGAGAGCCCGGGCGGGAAATTTGTACAATTTTTGTGAAAAAGCATTGGGTTTTTGATGTTTTTATGTTGAAATGCTTGCAAACACACGGTGTTCGGTAGGATTCTGACATGAACGCGCGCGTGTGCTCTTTGTGGTATTTTTTGCAATGGATTATCGCCGTGGACGACAGGACGTCCATGTCGAGAGGAAAAAATAAGAAACATGTTGATTTTGTATTGTTTTTTACAGGTTAGGATGGGACCACCCGGATGCGGCCCCTAATGGCCGGCCTGAGGGGGGAGTAGGAGTATATTCTAATAAGAAATAAGGATAGGAGTAGGAGGTAGGAGGAGGAGGAGGAGGAGGAGGAGGAGGAGGAGAGGAGGAGGAGGAGGAGGAGGAGGAGGAGGAGGAGGAGGAGGAGGAGAGAGGGAGGAGGAGGAGGAGGAGGAGGAGGAGGAGGAGGAGGAGGAGGAGGAGGAGGAGGAGGAGGAGGAGGAGGAGGAGGAGGAGGAGGAGGAGAAGAAAAAAAAGAAGAAGAAGAAGCGCCATCACGATGTGATATTCTGAAACCGAAACTGCCGCCACTCAGAGGACGAAGAACGGGTGGAAAATGTAGAGGAGGACGCAATACCCCATCACCAGAGCTTTCACACATACCTCGACTGGCAGCAGAAACACATCCGGAGAGCAACGGGTTAAGCTGGTATGAATTCAATCCAATATGGCCCTGCCCGAGAATGAAAGCGCGGAGCAAAATTCCAAGCGGCCACCACCTCGAGCATTGTCAGGCAACCCCACCCATCTCGTAAGAATAGGGATCGTCTCCTCCACAGCCAGCCTCGCCCCTGCAAACAGAAACGCGCCTCACAAACGAAAATTGAATACCCCACTGCGAATGACCAGTGCGTACAAAAGACCAGCCAACAGCGATGAATGCCCCGCAACTGTGCCGCCAGAAGTACCGCGAAAGCCCAAGCCCCGACCGGGATACACCCCCCGTGCGGGTTTGGGGGGATGCGACACTAAAGCTGACGTAACCTGCGGACGGAAACAAAAATTATGATGAACACGCCAATGACAAGGAAAAACCAGGAATAAGCACTGACCTGTGAAGAAAATCACCCGGCAAAAGATGTGCCCGACCCGATCTGTCAGTGTCAAGTGGCCCGCCATCCCGTAGAACGCGATACTTTCCCCGCTTAGCCATCCTCCTCGGTGTCCACCAGCACACGTCAGAGGAGCCACCCAAGCGCCGCGATGAGGCGCGGGGAAGGAAGGGCCATGGCCTAGCGAGTTGGAGCCAAAATATCCGACGCGCCCCAGGGCCCCCCCGCGTGCTTGAGCCAAAATGGCTACGGACGGAGGAGGAGGAGGAGGAGGAGGAGGAGGAGGAGGAGGAGGAGGAGGAGAGGAGGAGGAGGAGGAGGAGGAGGGAGAGGAGGAGGAGGGAGAGAGGAGGAGGAGGAGGAGGAGGAGAGGAGGAGGAGGAGGAGGAGGAGGAGGAGGAGGAGGAGGAGGAGGAGGAGGGAAGAGGAGGGAGGGAGGGAGGGAGGAGGGAGGGAGGGAGGGAGGGAGGGAGGGAGGGAGGGAGGAGGAGGAGGAGGAGGGAGGAGGAGGAGGAGGAGGAGGAGGACGAGAGGAGGACGAGGAGGAGGAGGAGGAGGAGGAGGAGGAGGAGAGAAGGAGGAGGAGGAGGAGGAGGGCAGGGAGGAGGAGGAGGAGGAGGAGGAGGAGGAGCAGGGAGGAGGATGAGAGGAGGATGGAGGAGGATGGGAGGAGGAGGAGGAGGAGGAGGAGGAGGAGGAGGAGGAGGAGGAGGAGGAGGTGGAGGAGGAGGAGGAGGAGGAGGAGGAGAGGAGGAGGAGGAGGAGGAGGAGGAGGAGGGAGGATGATGGAGGAGGAGGAGAGGAGGAGGAGGAGGAGGGGAGGAGGAGGAGGAGGAGGAGGAGGAGGAAGAGGAAAAGGAGGAGGAGGAGGAGGAGGAGGAGGAGGAGGAGATAGAGATGGAGGAGGAGGAGGAGGAGGAGGAGGAGGAAGAGGAGAAGGAGGAGGAGGAGGAGGACGGGCCGCCTGAGCCGTTCGGAGAAACCCTCCGAGGTCGTCTTCGGTCGCAGGCTTCTTCAAGTATGCGTTGATCTCATGCGCCTCGCAATTCTCTTCTGGTGCGACGAAGTTGTGGCGTTTGCGGGGGCCGCGGCCCCCGCGGGCCAGTCGTTGAACCAAGCGGTGAACAGCAAATTATGATCGTGGTGCGCCAAGGCTGTATTCAACTCTGCCATGAGAGCGGCGCTCCTTTCCACCGTGATGTCCCTGGAGAGGCGACGGATGCGCGGAAAATGAGACGTGATAAAATAAGCCCGACCTCCTCGCGATCTGGGCGGTCCCCTCCGAGCTCTTGCCGCAACTGTTTGCGATGGTCAAGGAACCGTGATCGTTCTGCTTCTCAATGCGATTTAGTCTCTTACAGGGCTGTGCGCTTTTCGAATTCGGTCATGGCGTATTGAGTCAGCTGCGACGCGACCGTGTTCCAAATCTCGTCTGTGGTCGGGCGATTGTATGGACGTTTTCAGTTCTCCTTCTCGATATCAAGAATAGACTGCTGACGCGTCTCGATAACGTTGCGATGGTATTCCTCCCCACGAAGCATGCTCATGATCGGGTCGTCGTGTCAAATGTGGCGCCGATGGTCGGTGGCCTCGAAGGTGTACCGGAAGTCGATGTAGAAGGTAGAGGGGTCTGCGGTCTCGGTTATCCAGAGTGTTCATCGCCTGAGGCCGACGTCCAGTGCCAGAGAGGGTCTTGCAAGACACTATGTGAGGGTGAAGCCTCTGTGGTACAAGGATGAGATTGGTGCTCAAGCTGTGGCCTCTCGTTCCGAAGAAGGTGCCCCCCGCGGGGAAGAAAGTGTTGGATGCCATCATCTCGCAGTCGCGAAGGCACTGATGCCAATGCCGTCCTGGGAGACCCGCCTCCTTCGCTGCGGGGGGGGAGGAGGAGGAAGAGGAAAGGGGGTGGGCCCGATTTCCAGCCCGAATCGCTTTCCGAATGTCCCGTGGCCCGGCGAGTGCCCCGGGAGGCCGAAAACTGAAACACAAAACCCCGTGCTGCATCTTTCAATGCGTTGGACATCTGTGGATGCCTGGGCCTCCATCCTCGACGGCGGCGGCGGCGGCACGGGAGTCCTCGCCGTCTTCCTCCGCCGGCAGGCCAGGTGACGGCGGCGCGGCGGCCGAGGAGGGCCGGGACGGGTAGGCGGGCTCCCGCGGGGGGGGCGGCATCGCGGGGCCCGGGGGCGCCGGCGGGAACTGCGGGGGCGGCGGCGGGAACTGGGGGCGGTCGCCCGTCTCCTCGGTCGGAGGGGGCGCCTCCTCCTCCTCCTCCTCTTCCTCCTCCTCCTCCTCCTTTTCCTCCTCCTCCTCCTCCTTATTTTCCTCCTTCTTTTCTTCCTCCTCCTCCTCCTCCTCTTCCTCCCCCTCCTCCTAATTAGTCCTACTTTCTCATGGATGACTCCCCTTGTCGTGCTATCAGACGTGTTCCTCGGCCGGCCCGTGCATTCCGTTCAATAATACCGTGCGCGAATTACCATGGCGCAGAAATGAACCTGGCGCGCCCCAATTAGGGGAAGCTTTCTCTGTAAGCCATTAGGCAAGGAAACGCGCAAGTAAGGACGTATCGTGGCAAAGTGAACGCTGGGCAAGCAGGCTCGAACATTCCGCTTGTTAGCTTAGGCTTGGTGACCTGGCCCGAGCGTGTCACTTGCCAGCTGGTGCTAGGCAATCGGAAATCAGATCCGAGCGTGGAATTTATTAGTTTGCGCAAGGGCAACTAGGCCCGGACGTGTCACTTGTTAGCTTAGACTGGACAATCAGAGCCGAAAGGGTCACTTGTAAGATTTGGCTGGGGCATCAGAGCAGAACGTGCCAGCTTGCGCTGGGCAGCGATGCCTGGACGTGACACTTGTTAGCTTGGACTGGGCAATCAGACCCGAACAGGTCACTCGAACGTGCCACTTGTCAGCTTAGGCTGGACAGTTATGCCTGGGAGTGACACTTGTTAGCTTTCGCTGGGCAGCCAGGCCCGAGCGTGGCACTCGTTAGCTTAGACACGGGAATCATACCCAAGCGTGCCACTTGTTAGCTCACGTTGGGCAAGCAATCAAGTAAGTAGGGAACCGAGACCGCGCGCAATCCCGGGGGACGCCAGGCAACCAGGCAACGGAGCAACCCGGGAAACGCCGAGGGCCGCCTCCCCCTGAAGCCGTCGCACCCAGCGGTTTCTTTCGCACGAGTTTGAACCCCGTCGGGCAAGTGCAATTTTGGAAAAACTCGAACACTAGTAAACGGATGGTAGGCTTGTAGTTTTCACAATTCGGTTGTCTCGCCTTAACCAACCGCACACTCGCCTGAACAACTTGCAACATTTACGAAGACGGAGGCCAGTACGTTTTCAGTATGTGTGCTCTCGCTTGAAACGTTCTCGAAGTCAATGACCCGAATGTCACATGTCTGCAACTGTTACACGAGTGTTTTTGTTTTCACAAGGGAGCTCTTGCTTGAGACCTTCGCAAATATCACTACCATAACTTTATCAACATTGTGCAATATTTACACCAGTGGAGTGCATACCCCTTTTATACAACAGGGCTACTGCTGGCAATTCCTTAAACTTGACCATCCTATGCCTTGGTGTCTCATTGAACTCGAAGGATGCACGAACAATCATTTACAAAACGGGGTCTCGCCTGAGTGGCAAGCCCACTGGGCGCTCGTCATTGAAGGGGGACGCTTCCCGCAGTGGAAAGGAATTCTTGTAGGGACTTCTGAAGGGGAACTTGGAACGGGGAGGTGTATTGCAGCACCGAGAACACATCCTGGGTTTACTCTGGCCCCCCTCGTCCTCACCCTCTTTCTCCTCTCCCTCCCACTCCTCCTCCGCTTGCCCCTCCTCTCCTCCGTAATCATTTTGGCTCAAAGCTCTATGTCGGGAGGATGCAATCCTCCTGAGCATTCTCGGGTACCGCTGTTACCGCGGGACAACGACCATTTCGGCTACGGGAGCTGCGCGATGCGCGGGCTGGCCAACCTCGGGAGCTGCGCGCTGGGAGGAGACCAGGCGATGGGGCTCAAACGCCGTGCAGGGGCGGCGCGGAAGTGTGTCTGCCGCTTCTGCACGCAAGACGACACGGGCCAGCCGTGGCGGAACGGCTCGGCGGCCCCGTCCTGTGGCAAGCGCAGCCGCGCCAAGGGCATCTGCTACAAGGAAGGCTTCAGCTCGGGGTGCCCCTCCTGGCGCCCAAGCAGCGCATCGCGGGACCGCCGTGGGGGCACACCAAGCTCGGGGCGCAGCTGGGCAAGGTCACCAAGCAGCTGTGACCAGGTCACCAACTCGCCATCGCTCGGACGTCCATTTCCCGTGCATTTTTCGGTTTCGTTTTTTTTTTTTTTTTTTTTTTTTTTTTTTGTTTTGTTTTGTTTTTTTTGCTCGATGGCCCAGGATCGTCTTCAATGGTTCTCGCCGAGAAAAAATGCACACGTCCGAGCGATGCCAGGCCAAGGAACGCGACTCGCTGCAGGCAACGGTGGCTGCGCGGCTGCCTGGTGTCGTCGTGCGCCCTGGCGACGCTCCCACGGATACCGAAGAGCGCGAGGTGCCCATGTCCGATGGAGCCATCCGCGCTGTCGACCTCGCCATCGAGGGAGCCGTCAGCACCCGCGGAGCGAACCCTTCGGCGGCGGCCTGGGAGGAGCTGCTCGGCACCCTGCGGGCCAAGCGCGCGGCGCTGCAGTCCAAGTTGCTGGCCGCCAGGCTGGGCGGCGGAGCACATGCAGGACCTGCTTGTCCGCATCGAATCGCCACGGGGCAGGGATCGCGCGGCAAGGGGCTGCCCTCCAGAGGCAGGACGAGGCCATCGCGAAGCTGGACGAGCTGCGCCGCGATGCCGCCCAGCAACTCCCGGTGCAGAAGCGGGCGAGCCGGTGGAGCTCCAGGCCGGGCTCCACGAGCCCACGTTCGCAGCCCGGCGCCGACCGCCCCAGGCGCCGAAGCCGAGGGGCAACATCCCGCGGCCTGGCACCAATGCGGGGCGGCCCGGTGCGGTCTTCCAGGGCACGGGGGGCGAGACGGCCACTCTGGTTGACCCAAACGGGGGTCCAGCCGAAAGGGGGTGGTGCAATAGGCTTGGGGCAATCGTATTGCAAAGGTATTGCGACAGAGAATGGTATTGCCTTGTGCTGCAACTAACGTGCTGCGCGCGCGAAAGCCCAGCGATACATTTGCGCACCCGAATGTACTGCACGCCCCAAATCTATCGCAACCCCGCAAATCTAGTGCAGCACCCCTTTTCGCTGGACCCCCTTTTTGGTCAACCAGGGACCCGCTCCTCGCCCAGCGGGTCGACAAGCGCTCCTCGTCAAGACGGCGCCCGCTGCGGCGCGGGGCCGGCCAGCTGCTGGATCTCTTGGGCTCCTCTCGCGCCTCCGGAAGCCTCGGGGGAAATGAGTCCAGCCGTGGCGACGCGAGCCCTCCCGGAGGCCCCAAGAGGAGGAAGAGTTTCCACGGACCTCGATCCTCCCGACGGAACTGCCGAAGGCCTCGACCAGGCCAGCCGAGGAACGGCACGAGCTGGACCGCATGTGGACAACGAGCGGGTATACGACCCCCACCGCCACCGTCGTCGCCGCCGCCGCCGCCGCTGGCGTCGTCGTCGTTGTCGTCGTCGTCGTCGTGGTCGTGGTCGTGATCGTCGTGATCGTCGTGGTCGTCGTGGTCGTCGTGGTCGTCGTCGTCGTCGTCGTCGTCGTCGTCGTCATTGTCGTCGTCGTCGTCAACGTTGCGTCGTCGTCGTCAACGTCGTTGTCGTTTTCGTCGTCGACGTCGTCGCCGCCGCCGCCGCCTTTGTCGTCGTCGTCTTCGTCGTCGTGGTCGTCGTCTTCGTCGTCGTCTTCGTCGTCGTCGTCGTTGTCGTCGTCGTCGTCGCCGTGCGTCATCGCCGTCGCCGCCGCCGGAGGTCTCCAGGAGGTCTCCGCAAGTCTCTGGAGGTCCCAGCATGGAGGCCCCTGGTGGGTCCCTGGTGGCCTTCAGAGTTCCCCTCAATCCCTTGAAGGTCTCCTGATTCCGACCAACAGCTAAGAGGCAACCTAAATCTTGCTCCTCCTCTTTTGAAGGTCGTCGCCGTCGTCGTCGTCGTCGTCGTCGTCGTCGTCGCTGTCGCCGTCGTCTTTGTCGTCATCACCAGAGATCTGGGAATCCGTCTGGTCGATTGTTGCCACCAGCAGTGTCCCTAGCCCAAGGAGGCTCCCCGGCCTCCGGAGCTCCCCTCACGAGGCCCGGAGGGCCCCTGGAGCTTCCAGATGGAGCGAGAAGCTGGGGGGGCATCTTAGACCAGAGACACTTAGCTGCCCCAATACGCAACACGCAACACGTATCGTATTGATACGGAGCTCAACACGTAGGCTGAAAACGTAGGTCCGACGCGGTACATTCGCCAAAACGTGGTCCAATACGTGGAGCCAACACGCAACGTATTGACACGGACGTCTTGAACACGGGACGTGTTGCGTTTCAAAACGCGCGTATCGAGGCAACTAAGCAGAGACACCTTGAACAACCCTCAATCCAAGGAGCACCGAGAACCGCCGAGAAAACTGGGAGACCCCGGCTGGACTGCTCGAGAACAGCCGGCGCCCCCGGATGCTCGTCGCCGCCACCGCCGCTGCTCGCCGCCGCCACCGCCGTCGCTCGTCGGAAGTCCCCGGGATGTCTCCAGGAGGCCCCCAGGAGGCCCTAGGCGGGCCTTCAAGGCCCCGAGGAGGACAAACGCGACCATGAACCGCGATCCTCGATCCTCCTCCCTTCGAGGAGGAGGAGGAGGAGGAGGAGGAGGAGGAGGAGGAGGAGGAGGAGGAGGACGTTTCTTTGGCACGTTTTGCTAAGCACAGCGTGCGGGAGAGAGGGAGGGAAAGAAGCACTAAGGCAAGCGGCCGAACTGCCCGCCACACCCGTGCCTGCTACGATGAGCAGGTGCGCCCGCGCCTTCGACCCCATCCATGCGGAGGGCGCGGAAGGAACGCCACAAGGCGGGTGGGTGACGGTTGTCGGCCGCTGCCGGGCCACCTCTATCTCGCCTGAGTCTGAGCTGGAGCCGTCACTCTCGGGCACGGGCGGATGGGAGCAAGGAGCCTCCCTGCGCAACGCCGAGGCAGCACTCCTGCACTGAGACTCCTCTGGGGTGGGCGAAGATTGGGCCGTCTCCGACGGCGTCACAAGAGACGTGTCCTGGGCAGTCGCATCCTGCATCAAAGCTGTTCAGGCGGTGGAAACATCCACAACCCGAGCACGAAACATATCACGCGCCGCTTTGGGCGGCCCTGCGTCAATCGGGTGCAGTCCGGATCGAATTCTCTGAAAGGTTTCCCAACTCCTTGCGCGAGGCATGCTTGCGCACGCTAAAAAGCTGACGGCCGTTAACGGTCGTGGTGCGACCGCACCTGAAACAGAATCCGCCGCCCCCCGTTTGCCGGGGGTGAAAAGGCGTGGGACATTTGGCTGTCCCTCCGGAAAACCCTGAGAGGGCCCAGACAGAACGCCAAGACAGTCGACGAGAGCGCCGAGACGGCCCAAGGTAGCCCCACCACGACCCAAGACGACTTCATAACGCCCATAAGGCCCCCCGGGTGTCCCGAAGTGTTCCCAGAGGGCCGCCGATAAAGGCCCCAAGAGGCAATAGTCCCCCCATTCCCTTCGGACAGCATGCATTTTTAGCACACTCGCCTTTTTCGTCCTGACAGCTTCTAGGACTTCCCAAGAGGTCCCCAAGACCCGCACAAGACTGCCGATGAGGCCCCCCAAAAGGCCCCCAAACGGCCCAGGAGGGCCCTGAGACGGCCCTGGGGGCCCCCGAGACGGCCCAATAGAGCCCCAAGAGGGCCCCAGCAGAGCCAAGGAGGGGTAATACGGACTAAAAGGCCTCACAGACGCCCCCAAGAAGCCCCTAAGAGCCCCCCCAAAGCTGCCAAACGCCTCTCTGATGCACTCAAGAGCCCTTCAATATGCCCCTGAGAAGCATCCCAAGGGACCAGCATATTCATCCAAGAGGCTCCTGACCCACAGCCCAGGCACGGTGGCTGCTTGGGCCGAAGGCCCCAAGATCCGCCGCCCCCTGCTTGCAGGGGTGCACGGCGTGCTGGATGATTCAGGTTTTGGTTTTGGTTCTTTTTCCAAAAGAACTTCCCAGTGGGCTCCGGCAGAACCCGCCGGCCACCCGGAATTTCCCCAAACGTGCTCAACGACCGCAAAAAATCCTCCAAGAACGGCCGTTTCGCTCGGGACATCCTCAAAAATCGCGAAGATGGCCCAAGATGGCCTCCAAGTCCGCCCGAGATGGTCCAAGACGGCCTCCAAGACGGCCCAAGAGAGTCCAACACGGCCCAAGAGGCCCCCCAGAGGCCTCCCAGACGGCCCAAGAGGCCTGCAAGAGGTCCTCCAGGAGAGTCCGAAGAGGCCAAAATCATTGATTTTCCGTTGGTTTTTGAAGGATTTTGGCATTTGCGCCTTTTCGGCTCTCCGACGGCTCAAGACGGCCCAAGAAGCCCCCAAGATCGCCCAAGAGGCCCCCAAGAGAGCCCCCAGATGGCCCAAGTGGCCTCCAAGATGGCCCCTAGAGGGCCCCAAGACGGCCCAAGAGGCCTCCAACACGCCCAAGATGGCCTCCAAGACGCCCAAGATGGCCTCCAAGACGGCCCTGGAGCGCCCCAAGAGGGTCCCACGTTGGCCCAGAAAGGCCCCCCAAACGGCTCCCGACGGCGTCAGACGTGCCAGGAACCCACCAAGATGGCCGAAGTTGGCTCGAAGCTGGCCCAAAAGGGCCCAAGAGGCCCCCAAGAGGGCCTCCAGGAAGGCCAAAAGATGCCAAAATCACTGATTTTCCCAAGGTTTTTGATGGATTTGGGCATTTCCCCTTTTTTCGGCCTTCCGACGGCCCGAGACGGCCCAAGAGCCCCCAAAGATCGCCGAAAGATCGCCCAAGAGGCCTCCAAGACGGCGACGATGACCATCAAGACGCCCACGTGTTCCCCGAAGGCTTTCCAAACCGATTCGGGGAACACATGGTCCGATGGCTTGGCAGGTCTGGTCTCAACGTTCGGCCACATAGGCGCTTCCACAAAGGCAGGGGGCGGCGGTGATTCGCCGTAGGCGTCTTCGATCCGCCGCCCCCTGTTGATTCATCACAGGGGTGCCTGACGTGCCAGACTATTACGGTTTTGGTTGGGTTCTTTTTCCAAAAGAACTCCTCCTGGGGCTCCCGCGCGTCCCGCTGGACGGCCAGGATGGCCTCCAAGACGGCTAAGATGGCTTTAAGATACCTCCAAGACGGCCCAAGATGTACCCAAGACGGCCTAAGATATCCTCAAGATGGCCCAAGGCGGCCCAAGAGGCCCCCTCAAGGACAGCCCAAGAGCCCGTCGAGAGGTTCTCCAGGAGGCCCGAAGAGGCCAAACTCATTGATTTTCCTTACGTTATTTGAAGGATTTTGGAATTTGCTTCTTCTCGGCATTCCGACGGCTCAAGACGGCCCAAGAGGCCCCCAAGATCGCCGCCTCAGGCCCCCAAGAGGGCCCCATGACGGCCCAAGTGGCCTCCAAGATGGCCCCAAGAGGGCCCCAAGACGCCCAAGATGGCCTCCAAGACGGCCCCGAAGCGCCCCAAGAGGGTCCTCCCCCGTTGGCCCAGAAAGGCACCCAAGACGGCTCCCGACGGCGTCAGACGTGCCAGGAACCCACAAAGATGGCCGAAGTTGGCTCGAAGCTGGCCCAAGACGGCCCAAGAGGCCCCCAAGAGGGCCTCCAGGAAGGCCAGAAGAGGTCAAAAACATGGATGTTCCTTAGGTTTTTGACGGGTTTCGACATGTCCTTCTTTTCGGCCTTCCGACGGGCCGAGACGGCCCAAGAGCCCCCAAAGATCGCCGAAAG